GGGGGGGGGGGGGGGGGTCAGTGTGAGGTTACAATAACACATAAAAAGTTTGGTGTCAATATGCAACCAGCTTGATGTCACGGTTTGCCTATTGTGTTGGGAGTGCGGAGCGAGGGAGCGAGGAGACACGGAGACGAGGGAGAATATTTGAAGAGACTTTAATAAAACAAAACCAGGGAAACATACACATAGGGCACCAGGCTGACGTATAGACGTTTAACACTGGACACTAGACAAGGGAAAACACTGGGATAAAGAATCTGAAACTCAATGAGGGAATTAACAAGACACAGCTGAATCAAATGGAACTCAATGGGAACAGGAAGAACCAAATATGGGCACAAAGAAACATGGCAGAAACTGGGTCACGGGGCACATATGGAGCAAAACACAAGACACAGGAACACAGGGCTGACATTACCTCTGTCCACGCGCCACATTACTTCCAACGGAGAGGGGGCTGGGCGCTCTGGAGGCCTCTACGGACAGGCCTACATGGGACAGAAGGCCTTCAGGGCGGTACCCATTCCGTGACCCATGGCAGAGCAGGCAGACTATGGAGCCATGGTGGAGCAGGCAGACTAGGTAGCCATGGCAGAGCAGGCAGACTATGGAGCCATGGCGGAGCAAGCAGACTATGGAGCCATGGCGGAGCAGGCAGACTATGGAGCCATGGTGGAGCAGGCAGACTAGGGAGCCATGGCGGAGCAGGCAGACTAGGGAGTCATTGCGGAGCAGGGAACTCAGGGGGCCATGGCGGAGCAGGCAGACTAGGGAACCACGGCGGAGCAGACAGTTCAGGAGGCCATGGCAGAGCGGTCTCTGTGGCCTTGGCCTCGGCACTATACACACTATAGCCCCCCCAAAAAAATTCCTTAGGGGAAATTTCGGGTTCTGAGGCCCTCCGTGGGTCAGGCGTAGGAACAACGGCCCTCCCTGGGCTTGACTCGGGATCTGTGGCCCTCCCTGGGCCAGACGTAGGAACAGCAGCCCTCAACGAGAGAATTAACAAGACACAGCTGAATCAAATGGAACTCAATGGGAACAGGAACAGGAAGAACCAAATATGGGTACAAAGAAACATGGGAGAAACTGGGTCACGGGGCACATATAGAGCAAAACACAAGACACAGGAACACAGGGCTGACACTTGACATCATTCCAACAATTTCATTGATGCATTATTTGAGAACGGTTTGTTCTATTGAAAAGCTTTTTGCTAACTTTTTTGCTGGGGAAAATCAGACCAACGGTATAGGAGGATTTTGAAAAAGTATGTTTTCTAAGAAATTCAAAATGGCGGACTGCAAGTTCGACCGAATATGGAATAATTGGCATCAATGTTCTCATGATGATCCAAGGAATCTGACAAGACCAGTTTTATTAAAATAGGCAAAATTAATCAAAAGCTATTAACATTTTTTTTTAATTTCATTATACATTTTGACCAGAAGATGTCGCTGTTCCAATACTTTTTGTGTACCATCAGAGTATGGTCCTGATGACACATACCGAGTTTCGTAACATGTTAATGCATTTGTGAAATACAGCATTTTATGACGAAATTCAAAATGGCCACCGCCCCAAAATGGCCAATATGGAAAAAAATTGGATATCATTTGACATGGCATGCTGCACTGAATCAGAAGCGACCAGTTCAGAAGTTGCAAGCAAAAATAGCCATTTTTCATATCTCCTGACCAATAGGTGACACTGTGCCAAAACACTGCATGTAGCTTCAGGTGAATCTTATGATGAAATGTACCAAGTTTGGTCAGAATACGTGAAAGCATTGCAGAGATAGAGCTAGATGATAGATAGATGCTCTTCATCCAATTTGATTGTGTGTTCTTCGAGAACAGTAGGGTTTATCAAAATGCTTTTAATAACTTTTTGCCAGCATGGTCTGAAGATGATCTGAGCCAATTTTGGTGAAAATCAGACAAAACGTCTAGGACGAGTTCGAAAAAACAATATTAACAACAATTCAAAATTGCAAAAAATCTGACTCGAAATTAACATTTTAGTTTACCAAAAATGCTTGTCAGTACATTCAGAAGCACATAACAAAACTAATTATGAAATTACATATAATGTTGTACTTACATCCCACTTAAGAGGGTAAAAACACTCATTTTATATATATATATATATATATATATATATATATATATATATATACATATATAATATTGCATATAAGTTTAAACTATAATACATTTTATATTTTAATAAATAACAAGCAATAGTATTTGAAAACATTACATTTAGTTTGCAATTAAGTATATTTATTTAAACTATACTATTTCCATAACAAGTACTCTTTTTAAAAGTATACTAAAGTGTACTTCTTTTTCACAAGGGTAGGCCTATGTATATTTATCAGATTTTACAAAATTTGTAGCACACATTTACTCTCTCCCCCCAACAGACTCAGACTCTCGTGTTAACTGGTGATATTCAACCCTATAGTGAGCATAGTGTGACAAAATCTAAAGCAGCTATGACAAATACAACAAGTATTGCATTCTGTGTCTTAAATCTAGAATGTCCACTACCCTCTGTGTTTTTCCAGTAGTCAGAGTAATGAGCCCTTGTCTCGATCTGTTCCCAGCGTTCAGAGTCGCCTCCAGCTGTTTCCAATCAAAAATCAAAACGTAGGGAACAATTTCCATGTCACACAGTGGACGGCAGCTATAATTTCAAAGCACCTGCTCTGAACTGAAATACACAGGGATTTTATTTAGAATGATATCAGTCTCATAATTATCATCAGGGGCAATTAAAACAGCATTGTCATGGGATTCATTTCACATTTGTATCACACTCACTGTGCCAATTAGCTGGAGGTAGTTATGCTTTTGGAGAAAAGAATACCATTGGACTGGATGAGAGGCTAAATTAAGGCCTGGTTAATTGTCAACTTTTAAATTGACTAGTATGTTCGGTTTAGACATGATAAGGAGGAAACAGTTACATTGACAATGTAGATATGATTAAGCGTATGAATTTTTGATCCAGCCATTAGATGAGTCATGCAAGACTCTCTGAGAGCATTCACACATTAGTTCAAATTCACTGCCGTCATTTGTTAAAGTTGGAGCGTGATGAAGCTGATGGATTCACAGAGTTTAGCAACATGAACTGTAACACCACCAGATGACGACATTTCTGAACATTTCCCAACACAACAGGAACAAATCCCCTATGGTGCTCTGTACATTTGCCTTATTATAACGTGTGAATATATCCCCTATCGTATTCTACAACAAAATTTCCTAATTAATGCTGTTCAGTTGCTTTGACACAATCTGTATTGTTAAAAGCGCTATATAAATAAAGGTGACTTGACTTGACTTAAATTCAATACAGTGAATCACACTTTAAACCAATAGGGGACCGGATCTTTCAAGGTTTAAAAAGGAAAGCAAAAGCACAATAGAATCACAAACATATCACATGACTTCCAAGTCTTCAAAAGTCAGTAAATAGCTCAGTATTAGGAACAGTCTGAAATTAAAGCATTCAAATAACTGTCCTTCTCTTCATTGTTGCGAGAACTATTCCTGTAAATTGTAAGACCGAGACAAGGACACCAAGTAATGAGACCTAAACCAACACTACGTTTATGTGATCTTGAAAGGTTTGGTGAAGATGCTCATAAACTCTCTTGACCATTGGGTCTGAGGGATTACATCTGCCTATAGTCCTTAATGGCATTAACTGATCACTGCTCCCAGCTGGTGCCTGTGAGACTAAAGATCCTTTAAGCTGACCATACAGGTTCATTAGGCAGAAAGAAAACTCCCTGTTTTTAAGTCCTTCCATTTGCTTTTCCATAACATGTTGATTCTAATGCATACAATAATGTTGCACTCCACATGAAGACTGCACACTTGTACCTTCTCAAAGTGATATAAACTAGTACAGTGGAGATTGGACATGCAAAACATGCCTTGAAAATGCTGCTTACTGGCTTGGGTAAAAAGAGGCCAACTCCAAGTCTGTATGATATTCTCAAGTACCTCCATCAGTGCAAGTCAGTGGGATTTTTTTGATCTGCCAGACAAAATTAAGTCTGGTTGCTTAAAGTAACACCACAATGCTGAGCAGCAGTGATTATGATAACAATGGTTCTGTTAACCAGAGAATCAATAGAGAACATACTGGTTATGATTACAATGCTATAAAAGATTAGACAGCTCTCACCTGAAAGACTCCTTGGTAACGTTGGACATAAGAAAGCTTGGAAACTAGTCACACACAATTCACTAACACTCCCCATGTCCTCAGAATGAAGGTGTTTCTGCTCTGTGTTTGCAGCTTTTCTCCCTTCCCCAATTTCAGCGTGTGGGTCAAGCTACACACACCCAAACCAGCCTGCCTGTCATGTCTCAGTATCTCACAGCATTCGTTCTGTAGTCCACAGGACTCGTCCTCTTCCTCTTTAAGTCGTCATGTTTGTGTGTGCGTTTGTGCCTTGCTTGACAATCTCAACTTCTCTGTGACACGTTCAGTACTTCACAATGCAATTTGCGTGTTTGTTTCCTCTTTCTGAGCTTGCCGTAAAAACTGCAATGCAATTCTCTTCCCCTCTCACTGCTAATAATCTCGCTCCGCTTCTCTGCTCTCCTAATCTGCCTCTTTCAGTCACACACTCGCGCTCTGAAGTCTGCACACACAAACACAAAAGAAAACAAGAGGATAAACACCACAGTAAAAATGTGTCGGTTATGTTAAAAGATGTACATTTTTTAAATCAAGATTTTTTTGAAAAGCTTTTGAACATTTGTCTGCCAGAACTATTTTTCCCCTTTTATTTCTTAAAGCAATGCATATAAACATGCACTGAAATGTAACTATGTAACAAAAGAAACATAGAAAGAAACAGTGTTTTCTTTTAATGTCAATCACCTCAATGACCAGCTGTGAATCCCCTCAGCAGTCACTAGGGCTGTCGAGAATAAATTCGAATTTTCCACTTAAATATTATCAAATTATATTTGAATTTAAAAGGCATAATTTCAATTAGGGGGGAAAAAGGCTTTTGGCTTCTCTCCTGAGGCCACAAGAGGGCGCATCGAGCGAAATATTATGCACATTTCTTCAAAGCGTAATAAAATAACACGATTATCTTTGAAAAAAAGTGCATAATGTTTAAAATAATGTTTATAAACCATATATAATTAATAAAGTTGCTTAAACAATTAGAAAAAAAAATAGCACCATGCATGTATGTATAGTTTAATACAAAGGACCGAAAACCAATCACAAAGAGTAGGCTACTTTCTTCATTTAAAAACATGAGATACAGTGGGAGGGGGAAAACCGCCATAAAGTCTTGAGACATGTTTTTTAAAAGTTGAACTTACATTAATTTTACATGGCTTTCTAAACATGCCGCTCTCTTGTGGGAGACGCGAGTGCAACGCTGATAGATGTCCCTCTAGAAAATGTGATAAATATTTTATCTGTGTGAACGGCTTGTTTTCAGTTTCGCCGTAAACAACATCTTCGCCACACTGATGCTCTCGTTTTCCGCTATATATTGAATGAACAGCGTAGCAGCGCCGCATAGTGGGTTCAACTTGATAGGCTAACAAAAGCATTAAAATGCAATGACACTTACATTGTCGTTGCATTTCGTGTACCACTGATAACGTTTTTGCATTCAAATGTGGATTATTTTTTTTTTTTAATTCGACGAATATTCGAAATTCGGATTTTTTGAATTTTTTTTGACAGCCCTAGCGGTCACATATCTATACATTACATACCTCAGCCAATTACCTTTCAGCATGCCAGCTGTCTTTCTGTCAGTCACAGTCAACAAGAGAGTGAAAATCACGAGTACAGAGAGCATGAGAGAAACGCCGGGGGACGAACGTCTCATGCATGAGCTGCAAAGTAAGGGAATAAAAATGCTGCAGCTGCACGTCAAACGCGTCATAGGACAGCAGAGCCCTTTCTGTCAACTCAGCATCTCTCCTCACATCTGACTGTTCACTTCCCTTTGAGCTGCCATTTATTCTGCAGCTGTGAAGAAAAAGCAAGCAAAAGAACAGTCAGAAACGGCACCCTCTGAAAGTCTGAAGAAGCTCTTTAGAGGTCAAACAAGGTTTCCACATCTGACCAATGAACTATCATGAATTTCTGCCAGTAATTTATTATTAATGATATATTTATTTGTCACCAAGACAATGGTATTTAGCTGTTTTTCCTTGTGCTTTAGTGACATAGAGTGCATGCTATTTTGTTACTTTCACCCGTCCCACAAATGTAAAGACGTGTTGTTATTTTGTTTTTCCCATTATGGAATATTCCACATATGTGTGATTTTCCATGTGGTTAAAGTAGTTGGTTAAATGACTTCAGCAGCTGGTTTGTCAGGTTTTTTTTTCTCTCGAATCGCTCATGTTACTTAGGTGAGCAAAGGTCAGACTATCACTCAATTCAACTAAATCTATGATGAACTTCCCAGCAAAGTCCATTTTTAAAGTCCTCTGTACAATATATGTGTATATCTGTGCAAATATACTTTTAGGTTCTTAAAAGGTACTATTTATTGGACTACAATATTATATGCAACATAATATTTGAGTTTGAATAGAGTTAAAGAATACAGAGCTCTCAATACCTCTAAAATACATGCACCACACATATATATCCTGTCTCAGGTCATCTCAAAGTCATGGCTATATCATAACATAAATATCGATGCGTTAAGTTTTTCCCCCCTTCCTTTTGGTGTTCTGAAAATGCTGATGAAATGCAACACAGGGGACTTAAATTATGCTACAATGTCGCCCCTCAAAGGCCATCATGTTGAATGTTTTTTCTTTACAAACATTTCTCTTCAGCTCAATTTCATGTTGAAGTCTTTTCTTAGGGATGCAATGCTGATATAGCAGAACTTTGATTTTAGTAACTTCTTATTTAAATCAGGGGTCTTCAACCAGGCTCTTGAGACCTGAATTTAGCTCAAGGTGCTTAAGATCACTAGAAAAATGACAGGCAAATTACAGCATGTTAGAGCAGGTAAGAACTACATTTTGCAGGACAGTGGGTCTCAGGAGCAATGCCCAAGTCTGGAGATGATATATAAAACCCAAAACCCTTTTCATTAGCAGAGCAAAGACAGTAGGGCTATAAGGAAACATTTTTTTAGATTAGATTTTTTTTCTGGTCCAAAAATGTATGCTGATTGTTTAAAATAAAATAAAATAAAATAAAATAAAATAAATAAAATAAAATAAAATAAAATAAAATAAAATAAAATAAAATAAAATAAAAAATAAAATAAAATAAATAAAATAAAATAAAATAAAATAAAATAAAATAAAATAAAATAAAATAAAATAAAAAAGGAGAAAAATACTGTGTGGGGAAAAAAAAAGTAAATGACATTTGTTTTAATCAAAAATCATGCAAATCATTTTGAAAATGAAAATGCCTTCAAATCTATTATCTCATCTTCCTCCTTTGTCAACCTAACAGTGTTTTGGTACTATTTAGTGTTTTGGGCCCCTTCAATGATTTTTACCCCAAATACTATTCTTCCAGTCTTTTATCTCACAATATATGTGGTAATTTCAGGTATTTTAATTATCTACACTAATCTCTACTGGCTGGCATTTAAGCATTGGAAATTATAATCTAATGGTGCTGGAAATAGACAATATGTTATATTATAACATGCTTATGAGTTATACTGAAAAATGAAAGTAAAGACCTCTTACAGAAGTCTCAGTTTTCTACTTCATTAAATTAATTAAAATTATTTAGCATCACATTCAGGAACTGTATTGGCATTTCAACAGCATTCTGAATTGATGGCACATAAACTGGTAGGAAAAATAGCAGTTAGCGGAGTCGTTCTCTCCAAAGGAAGAACTGTGCTATGCAGTGCTAAAGCACCTCCTACGCAGCCTCCTGTCCTCCTCACCCGCAGATCTGTCAACACAGAGAGAGAACAGCTCAAACTGCACACAATCTCACATTAATAAAATCATACGTAAGGTATGTTTTGGTTAGGTATGTTTTGAAGCATGGCAGCTGGTTTTAGCTGGTCATGTGCTGGTCTTAAGCAACTAGCTCCTGCTCAGGACCAGCTTAAACCAGCTCATGACCAACTAAGGACCAGCTTAAACCAGCTCAAACCAGCTGCCATGCTTCAAAACATACATATGCTGTTTTTTTCAACAGAGAATGTATTTTTTGGGGTGCAGGGTGTCTAATGCCTGATCTCATCTGATGTAAGTTCAAAAACATCAATGCACAGACACAGAATACTGATTTAGAGCAACATGAAGGTGAGTAAATGGGCAATGTTCATTTGTTATGGAAATGTTTGTTTCAGTTGGTATTGTAAGCATCTGAAGTGTCTGACAGCATGAAACTATAAATGCAGGCTGTTAAATGTGGCGTGGAGTCTTTGCGCAGGTGTTTGTGAGTTTACGGGGTGTCGTGTTGAACTAGAGCGCTGTTCGTGTGGGATGAAGAGAGCTCTTGGGCAGCTAGAGCTTCACGCTTTCGGCCCACAGCAGTTCAAAAATCGACAAAAACAGCTCATAAACTTTCCCTCATGCTAGTTTAGATGTTACATCATCTCACATCAGAGCTGGATCTGAAGCTCAAACATCTTTCAGCAAGCTGAGTTTCCTGGTCTTAAAGGGATAGTTCACCCAAAAATGAAAATGTGATGTTTATCTGCTTACCCCCAGGGCATCCAAGATGTAGGTGACTTTGTTTCTTCAGTAGAACACAAACGAAGATTTTGAACTCAAACCGTTGCAGTCTGTCAGTCATATAATGGAAGTGAATGGGAATCACGGCTTTGAGAGTCAAAAAAACATACACAAACAAAACCAAATTAAACCCTGCGGCTCGTGACGATACATTGATGTGTAAAGACACGAAACGATCGGTCTGTGCAAGAAACTGAACAGTATTTATATCGTTTTTTACCTCTGATTTACTGCAATGTCCGAACTGTCCTGAGCGTGTTCTGAACAGCCGGCGTGTGACGCGTCTTCTTCTTCTTCTTGCTTTACGGTGGATCGCAGACTTAAGTGCATTACCGCCACCATCTCTCAACTGGACCACTGACACTCCCAGTTGAGATTGTAGATAGAGTGTCAATGGTCCATTTGAAAGATAGATGGCGGTAATGCACTTAAGTCTGCGATCAGCCATAAAGCAAGAAGAAGAAGAAGATGCGTCACATGCTCAGGATGCGCTCAGGACAGTTCGGACATTGCAGTAAATCAGAGGTAAAAAAAACTACATAAATACTGTTCAGTTTCTTGCACAGACCGATCATTTAGTGTCTTTACACATCAATGTATCGTCACGAGCCGCAGGGTTTAATTTGGTTTTGTTTGTGTATGTTTTTTTGACTCTCAAAGCCGTGATTCCCATTCACTTCCATTATATGACTGACAGACTGCAACGGTTTGAGTTAAAAATCTTCGTTTATGTTCTACTGAAGAAACAAAGTCACCTACATCTTGGATGCCCTGGGGGTAAGCAGATAAACATCACATTTTCATTTTTGGGTGAACTATCCCTTTAAAGCCTGTGCATTCAAGAGAAGAGCTGATCCACAGTCAGTGTCAACACTGCGAGATGATCTGAGATCTAGTATTGAGTTACAACAC